GCAGACCTTTACACCACTGCTGTTTGCTCACCTCTGCCTCTGAGCTAATCTCAGGGACCACATTCCAGCTGGACATGTTTTGTAACTTGCAGGAATGAATATTCTCTCCTATTCATCATCTTATTTCATTAATGATCTTTATTACTCCAGGTCCTGCAGAGTGTCTTCATAGTTCTTTCATGTACAACAACTTTTACTTCCCAAACTCACCTTCTCACATGCCCACATCTACAATAACTAATAAACTGTGGAGTGGAGGAAAAAGTGTTAATGGTTACAGAGAAAGAAGTGGACAAACATTTTCATATACTAACTTACATCACAGGAGAGACTGCAGTTCATGCTCACCTTATGAGTTAAACAAAACTCTACTAACCTATAGGAAAATAAAAATATTTTTCCCCCTCTCAGCCTGCAGATCCAGGATTCTTTGCTTCCCAGTCAGATGTTGCTGCTTGCACCACAACATTTCAAGCTTCCCAGGTGTCTTTCAGAGAAACACAAGACTAACAAGCAGCCATACTTCAGCTCCTGGCTACACCAAGACCTGAGGTTTTATACATACATACAAACTAAAAAATGTTTTTGTGCCTCCCAGAAGTATACTTGTGCAAAGTTGTTCTTCCTAAAGTGATCCCATTAACCTTCTGACAGACAGCACAGGGAACTGTGGGCAGTTTCCCAAATGTTATGATCTGTCTTTTTCAACTCTAACTATAACTAAGAATGCAAAGAAAAAGCTTCTTTTAGAAAAAGAGGGGCATAAAAGAGGGAGCTGTTTCAAGCTCCTCAGTCTTTCAGCAGAATTAGCCTTTGCTTGCACAGGAATGGAAGAGCAGGCCAGTGTGCAGTAATCACTGTGCAGCTAAGGAAGAAGAGATAAGAAAGATTAATCAACTTAGTTAAAATTTCACTGGCTAACATTTTGATAGCAGGCCAAGGGTCTGACATTCAGTGCCAAACTTTAAACTTTCAACTGATAAAAGGTAGGTGGCACAGTTTGCTATGACTTCTTAGCCTCCAATGCTTTTTGACCACTTCAATAAAATCCTTTCAACTTGGAAATTGTGTCTTTTACCTATGTGATCTGCAACTTCTGATCCTTTTTTTAGTATCCTAACACTAACTGAATCCTAACATTAATTTTCCTCATGGTTGTGGGGTTTTTTCATCTTGCACTGATATGGATTGCAGACTTTTTGAAGAGGGAATAATTTTCTGAGGTTCTTGAGTAGGTGCCAGTGAAGTTTCACATTAATTTCTGTGGCACAGAACAAAAACTCACAGAACAAGGTGCTGCTGAACATGAGAAAGAGTTTCAATATCTGACACTAATTTTTTGGAGACAGTCCCTCCTATTTGGATTCTGAAATGATAGCCTCATGTGCAAAAGGACTGAATTAAATAACTGAGTTCAGTTCTTTACAGCAGAGAAAAATCAGGAGAAGACCCATAAAAGCCAAGTGAATTACACCAGCTTAAATGTAGCATGATTAGAGAAGTCTGACCTATTATGATCATGAAATAAAATGTAATTTTTTTCAGGAAGTGTTAATGTAAGACACAGTGGAGAGCACACTCTGGAAATGCTCAGTATTGATAAGTGAAACTTTTGTTTGAGTGTTACTGAATGTACACCAAACCAAATATTATTATTTACCCAGCAGTCTTATTTGAAGATAACAGAGGTGAGCAGATATTTTACACAAGAATAGCAGAAAGGAAAAGCCCCAAACAATAATGACTTACCTAAAAACTGCAATACACTACTGAAACCACTGTAAATCCAATCAAATAGGAACATATCTGAATCTTATAGTCTGAAATAAAGAGAAAACATAATGCATTTAAGTTCTGTCAGAACAGCACATTAAGCATCAAAAAATATTTATAGGTAACAAAAATAATTTAAAATCCTATGTTTAAAAAAAAATGGTTTTGGTAAACTGTATCATAGACCAGTTAAATGACAATAGCAAAGATTTTCCCCTCCCTTGGGAAAACACTACATGGACTGAAGTCTTTGCAAAAAAGTAAAAATAATTTTATCCAAAGTACAGTTTGTTGAAGGTATGTGATGATCCACTGAAGATTTTAAACAGGATTTTCACTTTTCAGAGGGGAAAGGTGGCACTTAGAGAGGGCACTAGAGGGAGACCAGTGCAGATTTAGGGCTCCAGCCACCCCTGGGAGCTGCTGGGGTTCAAAGTGGAGGCAGGAAGAGGTGAAGAAGTTTTGCAGAATTGAATCTAGAGAAGTTTGATGCCAAATAAATCCTGTCCACACAGAACCTGTCTGTTTGGCTTGTTATGGAAAACTACCTAGCACAAAGCACTTAAATTACCCTTCAAAGTCAGCGACCTCCTGTATTGCCCTGCACAGGCTGCCACAATTCAAACCTTAAATGCAAAAGTTTTGTTTAAAAAAACCCACCAGAGTCCTGTATTTCCCCACTGAATTCCTTCAGCTTGGATTCAATAACAAGCTGAGCTGAGAGCCCATACTAGGTTCATTGTGTAGCCATGAGTGATGAATTTCCTAGCTTTCATCTTAATTTCCTCATTATCTAAAGTGAGGATAATCATAGAATCACTGAGGTTGGCAAAGACCTCTAAGACCACTGAGTCCAACTGTTAGGCCAGCACCTCTGTGTTCAACACTTACACCAAGTCCCCAAGGCCACATCCATGGCACTTCTGAGTGCTTCCAGAGGTGGTGAACCCACCACTGCCCTGGGCAGCCTCTGCAGGGCTTCAGTGAAGAAATTTTTCTTAATACCTAATCTGAATCTTTGCTGGCACAACTTGAAGCTGTTTCCTCTTGTCTCGTCACTTGTCACCTGAGAGAAAACACCAACCCTGACCTGGCTACAACTTGTCAGGGAGTTGTAGAGAGTGATGAGGTTTCCCCTGAGCCTCCTTTCTCCAGGCTGAGCCTCCCCAGCTCCTTCAGCTCGTCCTCCTCAAACTTGTGCTCTAAATCCCACTGAAAGCACCAGTTTGACACAGTGAACTGTGAGCATTTTTGTTCTCTTGGAGACTAAAGGGCAACATCCTCAGAAGCCTTTAGCAGCTAATTCCTACTGGAATACATGACCCCTGTGGACACTGGAGTCTGGCTGCCCTGGAAAAACTGGGCTGCACTGCTAAACACAGCTGGGAGAGGCATCCTCACTGCTACAGGGGCTCACCACACTTGTTCAGAAGCTGCCTTGGGGCATCACAAGAGGACTTCAGGGCAGCTCTGAGCCTAGAGCACAGCACACAGGAGTCAACACACAGGTCTGAACCAGCCCAAAAATCCAGGCATTCATCACAGCAGCTACACTCACGACAGAGTTTCTCTGCTATGCAACAACAGGTACATCATACAGAGCTAATGTGGAAAGAGGAGTGGATATTTAAATGACCTTTGCTTGCACTGGAACAAAATCTGTTCAGATGACGAAGCACCAGGTGCCTTGGTTTCACCACAGCTAACCCTTAAACCTTTAACCATGACTCTGAACAACACAGCAGCTGCAACAGGCACAATTTTTAAGAATACCAATCAAATATGCTTGTCAATGCATAAACACCCAGTTACACAATGTCATGACTGAAACTGTCCCTTGCACGGCTAAAAATCAAAGGTCAAGAATAAGCAAACATGGCAGAACACACACGTCAGCAGATTTATTTATTGCTTGAGCAAAACAGCAATGGAGAAAAGCCTCTGTGGGGCTTAGGGAAACCAGCGACTCAAATAACCTGCAAATAAGGGCAAACAGTGTGATGTAAGAGAAGTGCTCAGATTACTGAGGTGAGAATAACTTCAGTGTTCAGTTGTATTAACCTGTTCCATCTATTACACTTAGGTTTACAAAAAACATCAACCAAAACAATCTTCATGCATTACAGAAAAACTTTAAGGGCTGAGATTCAAATGATTAATGTGAGAGCAGGATTGCTCCACAAACACAGCTGAAGTGGCATTAATACAGGTTCAATTTCCATCACCACAAGAAAAGTGGTGCTGGAAACAGAGCTACCCAAATCCTCCCAGAACAACCTCCATATCAGCTGGCAGCAGCTAAAGGAAAACACTTTCAAAATGGGAAAAAAATGAACAGCTAATTGTAAAGGCACACAGGTAATATTTGAATAGCGATATTAAATCTGCTCTTATCACATAGGAAAACTTTATAATTCAGAGCTGTGTCAAATCAAAGCATTACAAACCAGAGTGACTCTGCTCTGGTTGAGAGTTGTTATGCTGAGAGCAAATTCAGGGAAGAGCTGAAGCTGTTGAATGTATACAGACTCAAACTCTCAGCCTCACATTAAAAACACCACAAAAGCAGAACAACGAGGACTCAGCAATCACTGTTCACAAGCCATGATGGAGATGAAGGTACTATTTTAATGTTATTTCAAGGGGTGATTTGAAAATAATCCACTGGAAGCAGAAAAAAGCTTTGAATGAAAAGCTGTGCTGGACCAAGACAGTTTTTTGATACCAACTGCTTTTACAGACATCACCAGCTCACTGTGTCTCCACTGCAAAGACACCAAAATTAACTTTCTAGTATCAGTTCACTGACATGTCTACCACTGAAAAACATCCCCTTCAACCCTGGTCAATGTTATTTCAGCACCAAAGCATCACCCAGTAACTCCTGTGGAGCCATTCCACCACTCCACAGCCCAAGGACGTGGGGCTCACTCACTGAGGCTGGAGAATGAGGAATTCCCCACAGTGGCTCTGGTAACACCGAGCCAGCCTCCTGAAGGGAAAGCTGCTGACAGCATGGACTAGCAAGCAAACTCACTCACAACTCTTTTATCTTCTGAAAGCCAGGAAATTTTTTCCTCCTACACTCAACCAGTGTTTTTCCTAGCTAAAAATTCATCATTTCACTTCCAAACCTTAGGACAGTGCTCACTTCTGAAGACTCTTGAAGTTAAGGTAAGAGACAATATCAGGCTTTTAAAGAGCATTTTAAATGCCTTTATGGGACAATGAGGAAACAGAAACCAGTGACACCCAAGAGAACAGCTCTGCACGAACTGGGAACACACTGTGCTACACCTGTGTGGGGACTGTCAGCAAAAGAGAAGAGATCCCAGTCCAGCCTGAGAGCACCAAACATCAGTTTCAGCCACAGCTCAGTCTGAAACCACAACCTGCAAGCAACAGCTTAAAGCCTACTGCCAAGGGTGTATTTTTAGTTTTTCAAGCAGGATGGAAACATGATAACTTGAAAGTTATAATTTCACACATGATCACCATAACATTATAAAATATTACCACAGGCAACAAAAGTAGAAATCCCTAGGAATCTCAGTGGATAAACTGAGATTCTACAACACAGTTTATTCTTTGATTTGAAACTGCACTTGGATGTTGTATTTTAAGAGCTAAGGAAAGGCATAGTTAGAAAATTAGGTAAAAGCACAGACTTTCTAAAAGTATTTTGATAATTTTTTGACAGCAACTAATTTTTGAGCCAGCAGAGTTTGCCTATGAGAACAGCACTACAACCCCACGAGTTCCCAAGGGCAGCTGGTGCAGAGGTTTCGGCAGCCCTGGCTCACAAAGCCCAGCTGTCAGAGCACATCCTCGCTGCAGGGCTGCCGAACATTCACTGATAGGGAACAAAACCCTGAAAAGCAGTAACTTCTGAAGACATAACAACACGTCCAACAAGCATTGCCCTGTCTATACAAGGCGGCAGACGGCCCAGGGAGGCTGCAGGGCACCCGTGGGTTACGGGGTTCCTTAACGCCCCTCACCAACACAGAGCCCCGCAGGCAGCGCTGCTCCGGACCTGCGGGCACCGTGACAGCCTCAGGACCGGCCGGTGCCGCCAGCGGCCCGAGCAGCCCAGGGCAGTGCCGGGGGGAAGAAAGGAGGCGACAGAAGGAATAGGAGGGAAGGGAGGGGAGCGGCCGGTCCCGGGCCCCGCGCAGGCCGCAGCTCGTCGGGGCGCGCAGGGACCCCCGAGCAGGCCCAGCCGCGGCCCGGAGGCCGCTCCCGGCACGACACGGGGACAACAGACCCCTCACCGCCCGCCCCGCTCACCCGGTACCGCCGAGCCTGAGGTGCTCCGGGACTCGGGCAGCACCGACACCGACACTCACCCTGGCTGCGCCCGCTCCGCCCCCCGCCGCTCCTTCCGGCACCGGCACCCGCGGAGCACACACTCGGTCGGGCTCGTCTGCGTTCGGATGGACTCGGCTCTGTCCGGCTGGACGGGCGTGGTCTCTACGGGGTTGGCTTCGACTGGGTTCGGCCGGGCTCGCCCCGGTTCGGTGTGACTCGGCCGTGATCGGCTGGGTTCGGTACGGTGTGACTCGGCTCCGCCCCTCCGCGTGCCCGCCCAGCCCCGCCCCCGGCCCCGCCCCCTTCAGCCGCAGCGCCTCTCCCGGAAGTGCCACGTGTCCGCAGTGCGGCTGCGCGCGCCGCCCGGCAGTTCCGGTGGGTCCGTCCCCCCCGCCCGGCCCGGCGCCGCCACACGGGCGGCACCGAGCGCAGCCGGCCGAGCCATGGCCCAGCCTGCCGGGGCCCCCGCCGGCCAGCAGCCCTACAGCAACGGTGAGTGCGGGGCGGGCTCGCGGGGCTCGGCGCGGGATAGGGCCTGGCGGGCACGGCTCCCGCCGCGGGGCGCTTCCCCCGGGCCCAGGCCGCACTTCGCCCCGGGGCAGCGGGGGCCGGGGCCGGTGCCCGCGGGCAGAGCGCGGGGAGGGGGTTCTGGGGACGGGTGCTGGCTCACACCGGGCTGAGCTCGGCGGGGCAGCCCGGACACCCGCGGCCGGGCTGAACGGGGCGGAGAGCGCGAACGGAGCGGCGGCGGAGCCGGCACTGCCGGGACCCCGGGGCGGCCTGGCCGATGGCAGCGAGGCCGAGGTGGCCCTGCCCCCGGTGTCACTGAGGAAAGCACAGGGCGGCTCATCAGGCACAATAAAGCTTCACTGTGATTTATTTTAATGGCAGAAGTATCCCAGAGTCCATTTGTGTGTCGGTATGAACGGCAGCGTCTCTCACAGAGCCCCTGTCCGTGCTGCACGGGCTGGCCCCGGTGGGTCCCTGTCGGTGACACGGGTGACACAGCCGAGGTTTGACCCTTTGGAACGGGGCTGTACATGTGGCACTGTGGTTATCGCTGAGCTCAGCCCGCGGCGCTGCGGGGCTTTCTTATCTTGTCATTCCCGTAAAGCCGACATTATCTGCTCCTGTGTGCTGCCAGCTGGGAAAGTCTTCATTACTTTCTTCCCCTCCAAATGTATTTCTTTACAACGAGATGCTGAAGGTGAAACTGAGCTTACTAGCCGGTGTTTTAATATAGGAATAAAAAATTCAGGGCCAGCCTCGTCTCTGTGTCTGTTTTCGTGGCATGTGTGCAAATCTGTGCTGATGGAAGTGTCTCCTGATTTCACATACACATCCTCTGCACTTGCTGCCTTAATTATACACTTGTGTGTTTCGGTAGCTGTGCTGCATCATAAGCAGTTCAGTTATAATGAGATCTTTTGATTTTTCTTCCCCCTCCTCCTGCACAGTGTGTTTATTGCTTTTCTTCAAAGTCATCAGCAAAACGACAATTTGCAATTAACTGTGTAGCTGCTTCTACGGTCAAGGGAGTGGGAAGAGAATGAATATAATGTGGAGAGAGAGGCTGTGTCCTGGAGAGCTTATGGTCTGAGCAGAGGCTGTACAAAGGGAATGTTAGCTAATGGAGTAACTGAGTGGGATGATTTACAGACTGGCATGGCTTTATGTTTGCTCATTTCCCTAGTGTCAGATTAAGCACATAATGGAAGTTATGGAGAGGCAGCCGAGAAAGAGGAATTTCAGGCTGTTCAGCTGTCAGGTGTATGAAAAATAAAGAACTGAAATGTAGAGTTATGCAAATTAGACAGTTGTTACGGTGTGTTAGAGATAAGGCTTGGGTTGCTGGCCTTTGAAAAAAATCAAGTTGTTCAAGCACGGACTGCTCATAACATTGTTTAAAGTGTATGTTGAGAGGATGCTGTGATCCTTGCCCTTTATACTGACACCAGAGCTTTATAAAACAGTTTTGGGGGTACTGAGTGCTGTGGTGGTGCTTACAGTGGTCTGTGAGGAAAGCAGACTGTCAGCAGGATGATAAATTGTTCTCCAGCTGTCAGCCCTGCTTTGCAACTTGTTGCTTGCTGAAGTGTTTGCAGGTAACTCCCTGAGCTTGCATGGCCACCAAGGCAGTAAATTGTCACAGCAGCACCGTGTGCTGCCCGGGAAATTGTTTAGCACAGAGTTTTGGGTTGCTTAGCAACAACCTTCTTCTCCTTCATCTCTGTTTGTCTTTTAATAGGACCAGTATTCTGTACTCATTTAATTGCAGGTGTCTAATTTGCTTTCCAGTTGATAGATCTGAAGCGCAAGCAAGAAGGAGAAATAATTCTTTTAGAATGTTTTGCTTGTCTCATGTGGTACCTTAGCATAGGGCTTTGATGTCATGAGCTGCTTTAGGAGCTGTTGGGTTTGGAATCCAGTGGGTCAGACTCAGGTGGACACTGGTGGTGACTGATTCCACAACATCTGTTGGGATGTAACTTATCAGAGTGTTTATCTTTGCATCTCCCTGGAGCTTGGAGACCTTGTGGCCGGCAAAAGTGATGTGCTGAGTAACTGGCTTGGAGTAGGGGACAGTGAAATTCTGTGTGGCAGAAAACACAACTTGGATCCTGGCTGTCCACATCAGTACTTTGAGCATTTCATAAAGCCATCAAGTGACCTTCATACATATTCTGGTGCTATCCCTGATCTCTCAGAAACATTAAATGGCCTTGTGTTATTGCAGAGGAGAGTTTTGCTGTTAAATAGGTGGCCTTTCTTCTATCACGAATTCATTTCTGTGGTCTCCAAGTGTTGACTGTTTTGCTGCTGTGCAGGTGAAGTAGCTCTTCAGTCCACACAGAATTCCTTGTTTGTTTCTGGCTTCACAGAAAACCAGCAGCATTTGGGGAAAGCTGGACAGCCTAGATACTCCTTGATGGGTCTCAGTGAAGAAGTCAGGTCAAGATGAGGATCTGGCTGCAACCAAGCAGCAAGTCCTGAAAAGTTTTTGTGCACTATAAAACTCTTTGTAAAGGGATTTTGTCCCTTAGGGCTATTTCTATAGCTTTTTTTGGCCCTTAGTGCAGACTTGTCTTGGAAACATAAACTATTACATGAGGATGTCAAGACTTTTCATTGTGCTTCTGACTTTAAAAATAAAATTGAAGTTGGAACATTTATGTTTTTGCATAAAGTGCCATAGAAAATATCAAGTAGGTCAGTTTTTGATATCACCTCACTTCCACTGTTTTATCCTCAAGCAAAGAAAACAGTGCATAAGAGAGCAATCCAAATACTCTGATTTCTGCCTGGGATAGAGTCATGCCCTAAGGTGAAAAATCAAGTTAATAAATCAATTTGTATTTGTTCTGTATTTTTCCTACAGTTTATACTGATGTTATATCAGTGTTTGTGTGGATGAAATCAGAAGGTTTGATAAGAATTCATAATTTTTAGTTAGCAAGTGTAATTGCCAATAGGGTTTGTAAATCAATTGTTGGAAACCCATCTGATAGACTGCAGGGTAGTTTTTGAAGGTTACTCATAACTCAGCATTTTCATCTTGGTGAGCTTTTTCTTTAAACACCCTTGATTTTAGAGAATTATTAATTGCAAATATCTATGAGGAGCATTGTAGGGACAGTAGGGTATAACTGGATTTCCTAACTGAATGATAAATTACAGGTTGAAATTAATGGTTGGAGAATAATATGGTGTGTAGCTTTTATGTACAAAGAAGAGGCAGTGAGGATGAGATCACTGGCACTGTAGTAGTTCTATGGACCTGTGCAATATTCAGTGAATTAACAGCTGTGTGTGACCCAGAGCCTAAGGTTTTCTACAATGTTTAATGCAGTGTTTGTCCTAACTAAGATTTTCAATGTATTCTGCATTTAGCTTAATTTGTTGTCAGAAATGTGTGAGTTACTTTAACTTGGAAATGTGAACTTGCTCACCTTCCAGAATGTAACCATTACATTCTAATAACCAGCCATCTTTTTTTTTAATGTGTAACTGTGTGTGTGGAATGTCTCCAGTATCTGAGCTGTGTTTTTAGGGGATGAGAGCCACAATGTGACTGGCTGAACTGAATCACACAACACTGGAAAGTGTTTTGGTAGTTGTGAAGGAGTCACAGCTGGCTGTGGCCTGCAGCATCTTGTGTGTTCTGCTCAGAAGGATTTCACTTGAAAATTGATAGTCTCTCTTCAGCATGTCCATTTTGTGGCAATGATATGAACAATCTGTAGTAGTGCCTTTCTTGATGGAGCTCTTATTGCACTGGAAATCCCATGGGATTCTGTCAGCCTGTTCCTCTGTAAAGCAGAAATCTGATGTGTTGTTTACTCTTTGGAGAGTTAACCTTTTTTTTCATTTTTTTTTCTTCAAATGAGTAAAACTTACTTCATGTATACCAACCAACATATGCATAAAGAGCATCATCAACCTGTCAAGTATTTTTTTTCCCGACTGATGAATTATTTTATGATGAACTTACCCTTCCTTCTGTGTTGGTGACCAGCTGGCCACTCACACGAGCCCTGTGTGTACTAATAGTTCTCATACTAAAATTAACTGCAGAAACTTTCATAGATTGACTCAGTCACTTGAGAAGCAGCGTGGTGACCTATGCTGGCACTTGGCTGGCAGTGTCACTGTGGTAAGCTGACGTGTGGGCTGCTGTCAGCCATGGTGTGAAATGGAGTTCTTATGTAATGGATCTTCCACTTTGGCTCTGCTGCTGCGTGCTGCTGCCTGTGCTGTGGGACTGTGCTCCTCTGTGGGCAGCTTGCTTTTGGGGGTTTCTGAGGACTGGATGGGATCCTGTCTGAGTTTCAATCTTGATGGTACTGGAATGCTTAGTGGTTTCAAGGTTACTATAAAACAAAACAAAGATGTAACTGTCAATAGCAAAATACTGCTCAATTCATGTTCCTTGCAGTAGTACTTCTGTCACACCTAATGGTTTAAATTAAAAATGGCTTGGAGGCTAATAAAATCCTAAGGAAAGACATTCACAAGAACATCTTTTATTTTCAGATGTGATATACAACACTGACTTCCTAAAGAGTGTAGTTTTTTTTTCGTTCCAGGCCCTGTTCAGAATCAGCTGATGCATTCCCCAGAAGGCCAGGGATACAGCCCTGCAGTTCCAGGATCCTACTCCCATCAGATGCCAGCAAAGGTTCCTCCACATCAGTCTTCTGGACAGTACAGCTATAGTGGCTCTCAGAATGTTTCTCAATTAAACAACTTCCAAGGACCTGGCCAGACTCTCAATAGACCACCAGTGGCAGCTTTCTCTGGGTCACCAGTACAACAGCCAGGTCCTGTTCCACAAGTGCTGCCACCTGCATTACAGAACTCAGCTGCTGTATCATGTGCTGGGAGCTTTCCTCCTGGAGCCAGCCCAGCGGTGCTTTCAAGCTGGCAGTTCAGCCAGAGCCCTGGGAGCCAGCTCCCTGGGGCTCAAACAAGCCATGTGGCTCCTGTGCCTGGGACAGGAGCTCAGCCTCCATCATCATTGCCAGGGAGCACAAACCCTGCAGGGAGTTATCAATATGCTGCTTCTCCAGGGGCTCCTCCACTGCAGAACAGCTACATGAAGCCAGGTAATCAGAACTTTGTGATATTCTACCAATGAATGCTTTTCAATGAACTTTTAAAATAATGCGTATAGAACTGACTCTGCAGTGACATTTTGCTTGCGGAAGATTGCTAAAGCAGATACACTCATCAGGAATACCTGGGTGCTTTCTTTGGGTTAGAAATTAAAGTTCTGTGCCCAGAGTGGGTGGGTGGTAACTCCTGAGTGGTGTCCCATTGCTTAGGGATGCTGTGTGTGGGTGATGCTGTTTCTGTGATCTACACCATTTCCTGGGGTAACCCATGAAGCATTAGTATGTTCCAGTCCAGGACTTCACCACTGAAAACGAGCTCTGTTCAGTGAGCATGGTCAGTAACCACTTGATTCAGGTAATTTTCTGAAGAGCCTGTCAGGTTGATGCAAATAACTGGAGCACAGCCTGGAAACTGAAAAGCATTCTGTGCTGTTGAAATAGAGGTCAGTTCAGTGGAAAGCTTCCTTCCCCCAAACTTGTAATTTTCACATTTAATGATAATTGTCAGTCTTCAGAACGTCCTCTAAAAGTAGGAGACATTGCTCCTACTGCTTTACTGCTGGTATATGCAATGGTAAAAGCTTTTCTAATACAAAATAGCTCTATTGTGCAACTTGTGATTGTTATGGAAACACAGTTAATACTCTAGTTTCTCTTTGCCAAACTGTTATATGTTAGTTTTTTCTCACTAAGCATGCAAACAGGACTTATGTACAGAAATATTTTCATGTAAAAGCAAATAATTTTTCTTGTTAAGCACTTTTAGCCTCATTAGAGATTTTTATTGATAGTAGGTTTTGTTTTTTTTAATGTCTGCCTAATTTTCTTATGCTGTTCAAAATGTCTTAAGCTTGCAGAATTTATTAAACTGTTTCTGGCACTTAATTGGAGTAAGCAGTTAGTAGTTAGTAGTTTGGAATTAGTGAGGAAAATGCAGAGAAATTTTGGAAAGTGGCATATGAAATGAGAGGAAGTGTTTGGAATAAGTAACTTTTGAATTTTTGAATATCCATTCAATCCTCCTGAGCTATTTCCCTGGTATGTTTTTTGTATAACAATGATCACTTTTAATTAAAACTTTTTTGTTGATCATTCCAGACTTAGTTATAGAATTGGGATATTTTTTTGTACATCTTGAAGTTCTTGCCAACAAGAGCAACAAAAAACTGAAAGAGATCAGTAATTGCAGGAACCCAGAATAAGAAATGAAGCTGAGACCTTCTACCCACATGTTAGGATTTATGTATCTCATGCCATTCATCCTCTGAGTAACAAGAATATTTAAAATTCAATCTGTGCATTTTTATAACAAAACTTTTGTGATTTTTTTAAGCTGGGTTAAACTCCTCCTAAAAGTTAATCTCTTTATAGGATCTGCACCTCCACCAGTGACTCAGCCTTTAACTCCCCTCCACCCTCCAAGGCCACCTTTAGGACCTCCACCTGTTGGTGGTCCCCCTAGGCCACCAGCAGCAGTAGCAAGACCACCTGGTGCACAGTCTATGCTACAATCTACTGTAAACCAAGAAGGTAAGAAAAAATTTGCTCTTTATGTTGAATTCAAACTGGAACTTGCTGTAATATGCAACCTTTAAAGTCAAGCACGTTGTTCTATTAGAAACTCAAATTGTAAAATTGATACTATTACATCTAATAATTTAATCTAAAAAGAGTAGGTAAGGACCTGGAAAGAAGAAAAATTCTTGTAAGCAGACATTATAAAATTTAAGAAATTAACAATTGAAAATAGATTTCCAAGTGCTGTTTTACATGGGCATGTCTGCTGTAGTTGGCATTGCTTTTTTCCTTTTGTGTGTTGTAAAGTGATAGGATCTCATTTCTCTGTGTCCCTGACTTCTGTCAGGACAGAAATCCATGTATGACTCCCTGTATTGTTCATTCTACAGGGAGATAAAATGTGGACCTTGCAATTCCTTGCTATCAGTGTGGCTGTACCTTATTCTTCTCTGTGTAAAATCACTGAAACACACATCTTGCATTTGTTAGCTTGCTGAAGGAAGTTACTAGAGGCTGTGAAGTGTCAGCTGTTGAGGACAGACACCTGACTTAGTGTCTCCTGTGGGCCCTGCACAAATCTGCCATTGTTTAGGAACTCCCCAGGGCTCTGTATCAGACAGACTCCAGTTGTTTGGCATTTACTGCCCATGCTGGATGGGGCCATGTGTGAGCTGGCAGTTTTATTTTTACAAACACAATTCTATCAAAGCTGTTGGTTCCTTGCATGTTCAGATTGACAGTTTCTCATGTGTGGTAGCTCTGTGAGCACAAGAATAGTATATTCAGATTTAACTTTGTTTGGAATGTATTAAATGCATTAGAAACAGCTTTTGCTTAGAAAATATTTTCTTCATCGTGAAAAAAAAACATTTCCAGAGCCCTGGCGAGATAAAAATGTTTAGTCTATGAAGCAGGTTGATTGCTGCTAGGAACATTCAGTGTGTAATGTAAGTTCCTTTTTTTGGGTCATCTTTGGAGACTTTAATAAAAATGGTAATAAAAATAGAGTACCTACTTGTCCTTAGCAATATATAGTTGTGTTAGTATATTTAGACATAGTTGGCTTACCAAAAACTGTCCTTTGGGAGCACTCTCTGAGTCTCAAGGTTTTTCCTGTCTTAGATAGAAATTCTATCTTGGCTGGTATGTGACTGTGTCAGAGCTGTTGCTGTTTGGTGAGCAGTAGTGAACTAAATGTGTAAGTGTAGGCAATTTGGAGTTTCTGTGAATTATCAGGGGAAAATGTTCTTCAAGGTTAAGCTGAAGGTTACTAAGGAACCCTAAGATACAGGTTACTTGGAAAACTACAGCTAACCTACAGAAACTTCCTCTGCCGAGGAGGGAGCATCCCCTGACCCTTTGCATGTTGGCTTGGAGGCTATGGCAAATCCCTAATTGGAAGGAGTCATAAAAGATTTTTCAACCAGAAGTGTAAGGACTTTGGTTTTCCTTAAAAAAGAAAAAAAGATTGTGATGTTTTATGAATGTCCTTTGTTGAGGTCACATCTGCAAGGGATGTGTGTGTGAGAAAGAGGACCAAGTATATTTAATTCAGTTTCATCCTGGGTCAAAACCAAAGTAGATTCAAACTATGCTTATCTTAATATTCATCAGCAAGTAGGATATTTTTTGCAGTTACCTCATTAAAACTTCTTCATAACTTGTGCAAATTTTTTCTGTGGTTGTTTGTCTTTAAAGGTGATGCCAGATCTGCTGCCAGTGATGGGTCTGTAGTGCAAAACAGCTATGATGCAATTGAAGGTGGTGGCCTCATGGGTAAGGCTTTGGGAGTAAAAATGCTGGTTGTTATTATGGAACTTTTAAGAGTCTGGGAAAGATAGAAGTTTAAGCATTTGTGTACAAACATATGTACTTGGTTCAATGCCTGTCTTGGAGCTAAATGTGAAATTTGAAGCATTGACAATTAGCATGAGTTAGCCTGTGATAGTAAAGTAGGTGAGAGCCCTTTGCAAAGTTGACAGCAGCTTTATTTTTCACACTTAGAAACTAAACAGGCAGCTTTCCTGTTGTACTAATGCCTCAAGTAAAATACACTTCTCCAGCAATTAAGTGTCTGTCTACTCTGCTTCCAGCAACTCCACACCATTCTCCTGCAGCCCCAAATCTGAAGATGAATAGAAGTGTTGGGTATTCTTACCCTGCCTTACCTCCAGGCTACCAACATGCTTCTCCACCTGGAGCCCCAGGAATGAATGCAGCTGCTTTGCAATATCCAGATGGATCAAAACATTTCCAGCAGGTAAAGGTTGTCTGGTTTCTGTCTCAGCACTGCCTCTGGTGGGGATGTGTGGGTAAAGAAAAGTGATGGTTGGTAGGTGTTGTGCATCCCTAGGATGCTGCTTCTTTTGTTCCCTGTTTGGGCACCAATTGTTCAAGAGGGCAGGCATAGCCAGAATTAATGCTTTTGCCTGTGCCTTGGTACCACTTTGGAAAAGCTGTGTGCCAGCTCTTTGTGAAGTGTTCCACCCTCAGATCTGTTCAGGATGTTTCTTTTGAAACTTTCAGCTGCTTTTGGCATGTTGCTCTTCAGTGGCTTTGGTATTGTTAGCTGAAGTGTTTGGTTTTTCTTTCCCTGAACTTTCAAAGCGAACTGACCAACACTTTCACCAGCTCAGCTCTGTATTACAAGAGCTTGATAGGCAATTTATGCTTTTTTCCTCTGTTATGTTACATACATAAGTCAAGTTCATGTGACAGCCAGCATTTCTAAATATATCGATACAATGGCAGTTAGTACATGAGCAAAACAAACTGGAAGGGATATAGATGTGGTTTTAAACAGATTATGGGTTTCATCCAAGTACTTGGTGCTAATCTGTGAAATTTGATTTGTCTCTAGCCTGCCCTGGGCACTAATCACTTGACTGCATCAATGGCTGGCCTGAGTCTACAGCAGGAAGGGTTAAGACCTGTGAATCTTCTTCAAGAAAGAAATATTCTTCCTACCACCCTTTTGAAGGCTCCTGTCCCCAACTTGCATGAAGACATCCAGAAGCTCAACTGCAATCCTGAGTAAGATTATGCATTTGCTATAATACATCAAAATAGATAGAAATGTAAATTCCTGCTTATAAACATAATTTCACAAAATATTTTCTTAATTTTATGAGTAGAAAATATTGAAAATGGGCTTCACTGTTACAATAAAGGCAATAAGTGGGTTTAACTTCGAAGGGGGAAAAATCATCTTTGTAGAAAGTATGAGGAAAAAATAGTTAACAAGGCAGCTATAGATAGGTACAGTATAAAAGTTTATGCCTGGCAGTGAGTATGGATGAGAAGATACAAAATAGCAGTTAATTCAGTCAGGTGAGGTACCCCAAAAAGATTGTGCCTGAAGAAACATGGGTGACCTCTGTATTGAAAAGTAACCATTTAAAACAGTGGAGTAAATGAAATTTCAAACAAGAGACTGCAGTTGGTTAACCTGGTTAACCAATTATTCTCTCTGAGGAGACCAATCAAACTGTGAATAGCCAGGGACTTCTGCTTTGCAAATATTTTTCTGGTAAAGGAAATAACAGCGCCTTTGTGACGTTGTTCATGCAAACAAGCTGGACTTGATTTGCAAATCTGCCACATACATCTGCACCTTGTAGAAGCTGCTGAGTACTCAACACTCAGAAAATGATTGTGGGATTGTTTATAGTTACTATGTTTTAAAAACCACCTTTTAAACATTGCTGGTTCTGATTTATTCCAAAATAGCATTTAGTATATAAAGATTTGGTGCAACTTTAAATATTGTTAGGCTTAACTTTGACTTGAGTGACTAAAATGACACTGAGTTCTGTGTAAAGATCATTTGTATAAAATAAGAACTCAAAGTATGTACTGTGGGTCAAGCTCAGAAACAAAATGATTTGACAGAGATAGAGATCTTTCATCTGGAAACAGAAATTCACCATTAGCAGCTCTAGAAAAATATACTGTACTACTGAAATCATAATTTATTTGAAAGCCTCTGAAAATAACCCTTTGTCATCCATGTAGGTTGTTCCGCTGTACCCTGACTAACATTCCTCAAACTCAGGCCTTATTGAATAAAGCCAAACTTCCTTTGGGGCTCCTGCTTCATCCTTTCAAAGACTTATCGGTATGAGAAATGTTCAAAACTTTACTGCTGAAATATCAACTATGCCTTTACCAGAGTCCAGACAATGGACAATGAATTATAAATCAAGGGCAGGTATCTTGGCCCAGAGGAATTGCCATAGTAACTGACATTTCCTTATTCCATACAGATTGCTGTAATTTTTCTCAATTGTTTTTCCCTACCATATTTAAACCTTCAGGTCTCACTTCTTAATAAAAAACCCATAAGCTTAAGGGCAGTACAGAATTTGGACTGTGATAGAAGATAACCTAAATTCCAGGTTGTCATGTATCAGTTGTAGTTATTAATTTCAGACCTAGTGCTCATTCTAAACTCAAGACTTGACAAAGTTGAAGGGATTTGAATGTCATGAAATAGCCAGAAGACTTTGAATTTAGCAGTGTCTTACTTAAACATTGGGTTTTTTCTCACTTTAATTGATTTTTCAAAGATGTGGGCTTTTTTTCCCCCTGCTTTTTGATTTGTATTGGGTGCAGGACTTGATCTTAAACCATCAGTGTAAAATTCAAGAATTTAGAGGCTTGGAAAGGGAATCCACACAGTCAAATATGTTAGAGCTCAGTTCCTACCTGTTTTATTAAGGAATTGCAGTGGTGCTGTGAGGATGCAGAAGTACTCCTTCTTTCAACAAGGATGCTTTGCCTCACTAGGCAGCTCAGTGTGGGTGGTGGTGTTACCACAGATGAGCAGCTGCAGGGTGAGGATGCTGTAAAACAGGAAGATTTTCTCTTCCAGCAATTGCCAGTGGTCACTTCCAGTATTATTGTGAGATGCCGTTCCTGCCGGACGTACATCAACCCCTTTGTCAGTTTCCTGGACCAGAGGAGGTGGAAATGCAATTTGTGCTATAGAGTCAATGATGGTAAGTTTTAGATGTGCTTGAAAGGGCTGCAATTAACCTTTCCCAATTAACCTTGCAGCACCTTAAGTGGTGCAATTAGCCTTTGCCTTTGAGACTGGCCACATCAGTAGGGGGATTGTTGTCAGTCATGCTGGGAGTCATGAGAAATGTTTCTCAGTGCCAGTGGTGTCCCTAAAGAAACATGATGAGCCTAAGTAGTCCCTCACAGTACCTTGCACAAGTGTAAAAACTCCACTGCCTGGTGTAGTTTTCCATTGTTGCCCAACAGCCACAAGAGAGTTGATATATTTGTTTTAAAATGCAGCACAGCCAATACTAGTGTGAAATACTAATATATAAACTTACCTGCATAGTTCCTGAAGAATTCCTGTATAATCCTGTCACAAGAGTTTATGGAGAACCTCATAAAAGACCCGAAGTCCAGAATGCTACTATTGAGTTTATGGCTCCATCTGAATACATGGTAAGGCTTTATTTACTTTTACTTCTTCTCTTCCTTTGTTTTATTTTCAGAGGAATGTCAGAGAAAGCTTTGTTTGAGAGGATGCTTTCCAGTTCAGTAGCTGTTGCCTTAAGGAGTGTATCTGAGAACTCATGGGGATGACCTCAGAGAGTTCACTTTTAAACATTTATGATGTTAAAGTTGCTCTGTATCTGGAATATGTAGGTATTCTGTATCTGGAATATGTAGGTATTCTGTATCTGGAATATGTAGTAGCTTTGGAAGAAAACTAGAATTCTGATATTACCAAATAAGAGGCAAATTCATCCAGAAGTTTTAGCTGTCATCTGTGTGCTGTTTTAGCAGTTTAAACTTGGAATAAAATGAATGAAGCCAATGTAACAAATGCTGTTTGAGAATTAAAGGTGATCTTTTCTTTGCTCAGCTGCGCCCACCCCAGCCCCCCGTGTACCTCTTTGTGTTTGATGTGTCCCACAATGCAGTCGAGACAGGATACTTGAACACAGTCTGCCAGACCCTCTTAGACAATCTGGACTCGTAAGTACTTTATTCTTTAAATCTCCAATTTTCATTCATCTTAAAAAATCTGTGGTAGACACCAACATGCCAGTCCCTTCTGTGTGGAAGACAGTTTTCTAGTGTGGGCAAACAATGGCCAGTGTTGTGTTAAACTGTGCCATAAAGCTGTAGCCTTTTTCCCATCACAGCTATACCAGTATAAAAGGTAATTTTGAGGCTTGATTTTCATTCTGACTCTTACCTATATGTTTCATAAATCCCCAAAAGAATGTAAGCATCATGTTTATCTTTTGAACTGTACTTTTTAAAAGCTCAAATTTAGATAAGTATTTGCTGAAAAGAGTCATGCATCTAATAATCTTCTCATAAAATGCATGCTGTTTGAACTTATATAACACTAATTGGGATTTTACAGTTTATTTATTCTTTTTCTTCCACTTCTGATTGCCCTCTGAAAAGGTTTTCACCTGCCTTCTAGGTGACTCTACCATGAGCTCCTTTTTTGCTGTGGTTTTTGTTCTTTCCAAAATGACTTAGTGAAGCTCTTGCAGTCTAGCTGTTAAACTAACTGCTTGGTAACAACCACTGAGAGATGCAGTGGATGTTAAAAAAAAAAGGAAAAGCCTGCAGAAATGAAATTTCATCTTGTTGAACACCATATGTCTCATTTTCAGGCTTCCTGGGAACACTAGAACAAAAATAGGCTTCATAACATTTGACAGCACAATCCATTTCTACAGTCTTCAGGAAGGTCTCTCTCAGCCTCAGATGCTTATAGTTTCAGATATTGAAGGTATGCAAAAATAATTTTTCTGATCAGTACCTATTAGTGACTTCTGGTTATGACAGCCTTTAAAAATAAATATCTGGTGGGAGTTTCTGGATCACACCGTTAGTCTCTCTAGTAATGCCTTTGGAAGTACCATATGTGTGAGTTTGTTTATGAAGACATCTCCCTCATGTCTGAGCAATGCTGTGGCTGCTCATGACTTCAAACATGAAGACAGCTTTCCTACCTTCTAGTTTAATTTGTACAAATCTCTAGATTCCTCTTGAAATCCCAAACACTGATGCTAGATACCTTTCTGTATAGATTTTCTTGTGGCTAGTGCTTAGTGCTAGTCCTTCTGCCTTTTGTTTCAAATCACCTTTCACTGGATATTATTGGGCAGGGTAGAATGAACATTGGAAATATTTGCTATGTGATTTTATTTAATAATTTTGATTATCCTTCAGCCCTGTTGATTGCTGCTCCAGCATGGGATTCTAGCCACAGGAATGCTTATGAGAAAAAATCCACATAATTATGTTTACATGGGTTAATACACTGATAGTGTGTATTTTTTTCCTATAAGCATGATGGTTGGCAAATAAAGTCAGGGAAAGCTTGGTGTGTTTTTAAAAGATAACTCTCTTTTTTTCCCTTTCAGATGTATTTATACCAATGCCAGAAAACTTATTAGTAAATTTGAATGAAAATAAAGAGGTAAGAAGCAAGGACTTTCTTACATAACTAGTGACATATTCATAACTGGGGATATGTTTGGTGATTTTTTGATTAATTAATGCTCATTAACACCAGCTGTTCAAATGCCAGGTTTGAGGCAAAAAAAAAGAGGTCTCTTATCTATGTCACTGTAGTTCTTGCCAACCTGAAACAAGATAGTACTTCAATTTTTCTAGGACTTTGTCTTTCCTACTTGAATATTAGAAGTGTTAATACTTGGTTGTGTTCAAGTGTTTGTACAAGATATATATATATATATATATATATCGACCCAACAGCCAATATTTGACTATAAAATAGAAAACCTTGAAGACTCATAGGCCTAATAGAGTTTTCTCACTTGCAGCTAATTCAAGATCTGCTGAAGACATTGCCACAGATGTTTACCAAGTCCCTGGAAACTCAGAGTGCTCTGGGACCTGCATTACAGGCTGCCTTTAAGCTGATGTCCCCCACTGGAGGTAGAATCACTGTCTTCCAGACACAGCTCCCATCTCTGGGAATGGGAGCACTGAAGTCACGAGAGGAGCCAAACCAAAGAGCAACAGCAAAGGTTAGGAAAGCAAAAAGGTTGTTCTGTGCACATAGGTGGTTCGGGGATTTCCTCTTCTGGGTTAATTTTGTGCTTGTATTGCTCCTTTTAAAGTAGCAGAAAAAAAGCAAAAGAAAAACCAAGCAATATAAACACAAATTAATTACCTGATTTGATTTTTTAAAACAAAATACTTTTAATCAATGATGGAGAATTGATTGTGTCCCTGAAAGCAGGCAATAAATGTATGAATCAATTTGAATTTCCTTTGTGTTTTGTAATACTCCACTGTTTTAACAGGATATACATCTGACACCATCGACTGATTTCTACAAGAAGTTGGCCTTGGACTGCTCAGGACAACAGGTTGCAGTGGATTTATTTCTTCTTAGTGGGCAATATTCTGACTTGGCTTCTCTAGGTAAGTCATACAAAGCTCTTTTGGGACATGTAACTCTTGTATTTTGAGCAAATGCATAGAATCTACATTAATATTTAGTAGATGTACCTGATTTGAATTAATCTAGTGTGTCAAGATACAAACTTGTCCTTGCTGAGCAGTAACAGTGAATAGAATGTCATCTTTAAGTCCTGATTTAAACTACTTATTTTCTTGTCCTCCCTTAGTGAGTCAGGACCCTTGTGCTACTGATAGTAGTGGAAGTGAAGTAGTGGAAATAGTTTCTTCCTTTTTTATGCCTTTTTAACCTTCAGTGTCATTGCCTTTAGAACAAGTTTTATTAGCATTTTAATTATTTTTTTCTATTTAACCAGACTTTCAAGTGATAGCAATTTCAGGTCAATGGTAAATTATTTCACACCTGAAATTTATCACATATTAGAATATACAGTTGTAGCTACATCTGTCTCTGTAGGCAGGTCTGTAACTCTGCATTTGAGTGATTTGCAGGTGTGAACAATTTAATACTTTAAAGACTGCAGCAGCAGCTGTTTCCACTCTCCAATGTATACTGGTTTTGTTTCAGGTTGTATATCAAGGTATTCTGCAGGTAGTGTCTACTACTACCAATCTTACCATCATAAACACAACCCTGTCCAGGTGGAGAAATTGCAAAAGGAACTGAAGCGATATTTAACTAGGAAAATTGGCTTTGAGGCTGTCATGAGGATAAGATGCACCAAAGGTCTGAATTCAATTTCTTAGATTTTTGTGGGGTGGAGAAGAGGGAAGTGGGTGTTTGCTGCTCTTTGGGAATGTTTTCATTGGTATTCTAGCTATTTTTTAACCTCAAATGATTAAAAGGCAAAGATTAGAAAAGTAAAATTCAGTACCAGAGATAAGACAATTTTTTTTTAATACTGTATTTGCAGTGTCTTTTCTGGCATCCAAGTTCCAGTTTATAATGGTCAAAACTGGAAATTTTCCTGAACGATTTCAACAAGGGACTGTTTTTATAATCTAGATACTTTCTACTACTCTGCAGTGATTTCCCTTGCTAATTCCCACTTTCTGCTAGGCTTTGTGGATTCTTTGGATGAGTTGTTAGTTTGTAGCATTTATCTTTTCTGAAGATAATATGTTTCATTGAGAGGGAGCATTCCAGTACAGTAATTGATGCAGAGCTCTGTATATGGTGCTTGTACTTCACAGCTATAAACCCAAACTGATCCATTATTATCTTGTAGGTCTTTCCATTCATACTTTCCACGGGAACTTCTTTGTACGATCTACAGACTTGTTGTCATTGCCCAACGTAAACCCAGATGCAGGATACGCTGTGCAGATGTCAGTGGAAGAGAGTCTTACTGATATGCAAGTGGTTTCTTTTCAGTCAGCTCTCCTGTACACCTCCAGCAAAGGTAAGGTTAGATTGAGCCAACAGTGGCATTTGTAGTGTTGCTTCATAAAACAACTGTGGGGGTTACAGTTGTCTTTCCTTGCAGGTGAAAGGCGAATTCGTGTGCACACGATGTGCTTACCTGTTGTCACAACCCTGAGTGAAGTGTACCTGGGGGCAGATGTGCAGGCCATCACAGGGCTCTTAGCCAATATGGGTGAGTGTGCTAAGAGCTTGTTTGGATATGTGTGGATTGTATCCTTAAAGGTCTGAGCAATAATCCTCTGGATTAGAAGAAAAGATTCTCCCTCATCCTAAGAGAGTTTTGGTTTTAATGCTTGGCTTAGGTGAAGGATCAGTAGAGCTGTGTGTAATCGCCTGGGCTTAGGCTTTGTCTGGTGCATCATCGTGGCCCCTCAGCTTTTTTCTGAAGCACTTCCCCTAGAATGCAGTAAAAGCTTAAGCTGCATTGGCATATATGATAAAGTGAGAGGACTTAATGTATGTGATTGCATCCTGCCAAGGGAGGAACCCTCTGATCTGAGCCTTGCCCTGTTTCAGCTGTGGACCGCTCCGTCTCCGCCACACTGAGCGACGCGCGCGATGCCCTGGTCAATGCCGTGATCGATTCCTTGGCCGCTTATCGCTCCTCCGTGCTGAGCATCCAGCAGCCCGGCCTCACTGCTCCCTTCTCCCTGCGCCTCTTCCCTCTGTACATACTGGCACTCTTGAAACAGGTAAGAGGGCAAAGGAAGCCAGGCAAGAGCATGATTGTTTGGCAGGTCAGCCTGAAGTAAAAGGACGATTCTTTGATGGAGAATGATTTAATTCAAAAGCAGGAATTTAGAAGTGTGCGTAAAACCAAAAGTATAAATGTTTTAAGCAATGGAAGGGCAAAATAATAAAGACACTGAGTAGTGAACAGAATGTATCAGGGTACTGATAGTGTTTTCTCAGGAATCTCAGTTTTGTGTGTCTCTGGAAATGTAGATCCACATACCAGTTCAGTGTGGATTAGAAGAAAGCTGGGTGTGGCAGACAGGGCATTTGGCTGACTGTTCTTGCAACAGGTTTAGAGCATTTCACAGTATTTGCCCAATGTAAGAATTTTTTAATTAAATTTCCCTGAACTGATATTAGAAGTCATTTAACTGTTGGACAAACTGATTTCTTGGTTCAAAAAGAAGTTTTGGATTCATACATCTTGGTTAGGAATTAAACAGCATGTTCATATTGAGCTTTTTCATGTGAAAGGCTTGATGAGCATTTGATCCAGTCAGGTGGGAGGAGTGAGCTCTACTTTGATTTATAACTTTTTCTTTGATCCCAACAAGCCAGGACTATCTTGTTAATACAGACCTAAGATTCTGTACACTGAAGCCAATTGTAAACTGCTCAAGTATTTATGCTTTTAAATTTCATCAAGTAGCATTTTTGAGGTGTGTGTTAGTATTTCAGGGCGTTTTCATCTCAGCTGTAAGAGAGGACTGATGGTGCCAGGTTGAGGTTACTTCTAAAATCCAGAAGTGGGAGAGAGACTTGTATGATTTCAATGTGAAACACTGAGGAGAACTATGAAGAAGTAAAATACAATGAGAAAAGACTTAGGGTACATCTTTAAACCTTAAGTTAGAAATAAGTAGCAGGCAATGTGTTTTATCTGCAACTTACCTTGCTTTGCTTTAATGGTTAAACTAAAGGCCTGATTGTTTGCAGAAAGCATTTCAAACTGGGACAAACACACGTTTGGATGAGCGCATCTTTACCATGTGTCAGGTGAAGAACCAGCCCCTTGTTTACCTCATGCTCATGACACATCCCAGTCTGTACAGAGTCGATACTCTCACAGATGAGGTGAGTCTTGGCCTTGCTACGTAATCTGATCCCAAAGATCTGTGTGATGTGAAAGTAAATGTGTTAGAAATCTCCCAAGTTTTCCATCTAAAGCTGCACAGCTAAAATGTAATGTTTAATATTCTCCTACTTGTTGCATTTGTGCATTTGTTATTTAGAAGTGAATTGATGAATTCTGGAGAGAAGCTGTGCTTTGCTATGGGTGGGGAAAGTTTTTTCCTAACTTATTTCACCTTTGCCTTGTGTCATTATCTTGTGCTATAAAATCACATATACATAAAGACATCATAATGTGGTTTTTGTCCCTTTGTAGCTTCCTTTATTTTAAAATATCAAGCAGTTTTGAGAACAGGGAATGTTTATGTAAAACCCTGAACAATTTTGGGAATCACATCTTTGGTACATAGCAAATCAGATATTCCAGTTCCAGAACTAATTAACTAAGATACATTTGATGACATTCACCCTCTTGAAAAAGAAATTAAGATTTATTAGTAAATTACTAATTAATGGAGGAAATCATCATTTTAAGTACAGCATGAGCTGAACTGAGAAAAATGGTCCAGCTCCAGTATTCAGTGTAGTAGATCCCCCTCTTATTTAGCATTCTGTTCTTGTTTTTTGCATCAAGATGTGAACCACTGTTTTTCATCCTTCTTTTAGGGAGCTCTTAACATAAATGACAGAACTATACCTCAGCCACCCCTTCTCCAGCTGTCAGTGGAGAAGTTGAGTAGGGATGGTGCTTATCTTATGGATGCTGGCTCTGTAAGTTGTGTGTGTGGGGGGGGGATTAAAAAAAATATCCAAGTTTACTTGGTGTGTTCTTTCTGAGAACCCAAAATATGCTCAGGACTGCTGAGGTGTGTTTTGGGTTGGATTAATGTTGTTATTGATGGTGTCTTTCAGGTGATGTTTATGTGGATTGGGAAGAACTGTGGGCAGGGTTTTATCAGCCAAGTCCTTGGAGTTCCGAATTATGGCTCAATACCACAGAATATGGTATGTGCTTGCTCTGCACATCAGGCCTACATCCAGTGCTGCCAGAATATCATTTGCATGAGAATTAGAATACACTACTCAGCTATTAGCCCTCTAGTGGTATAGATCCAGATCCAAGGAAAGAAGGAATTGCTGTTACCTCTTGGAGTTCGTCCTCATGAGGACACAGTAGGAAGAGGCTGACAGTGATTGAGTTTCTCAGACCTGTGGGAGCAGACTAAGAACACTTGCAAACAGTGAGCACAGTGGGTTAGTGGGAAATCCTTTCATTTCTGCAACAGAACAGGAATCAATCACAGCTCACTCATCACCATTCTGACAGCTAATTGCTCACAGGAGTTTAGAGCTCTTGACTATTTCAAAGAAGACAAGACTGAAACTATACATCACAAAACATATCTGTCTGGGTTTTCTTTGTACCTAATGCATTGGGCTAGTTGAAGTGTTCCTTTTACTGTTTTTCTGAAAAATTTGTATTAATGAAACCCTTTGGCTTTTAGACACATCTCCCAGAACTTGAAACAGCAGAATCCATCAGAACACGAACTTTCATTTCTTGGCTGAGAGAACAGAGACCTTTCTTTCCTATACTATATATAATAAAGTAAGTGGTTTTTAACAGTCTTTTTTGCTCCTTCAGCAACCTGTTAACCATACATACTTGGATATCATATACTGAACTTTCTTAATGGAATTCTTAACAATAGTGTGTGCTGTGCCTGACAGATTTGACTACAGATATGACTTATGAGTTGTCTCCAATTAGAATTTGAAAAGCCTACCTAAGGATTCCTCTATGACACTTAGTCTTTTTTAATGTCAGATAAATGAAGTAAATGCTGGTAAGAGCACTTATTAGGATTAATCACTACTAAATGCTATTTGAGATCGTCTTTTCATATGTCCTTAAGCTTTTGAAATGACTGGTCACCTGACCTGTAACTTTATTCATGCACGGTAGCCCATGGCAAATGTTAATTCCACTCAAACACTTATATTTTTGTTTTTAAGGGATGAGAGTCCATTGAAATCAAGTTTTCTGCAAAATATGATTGAAGACAGAACAGAATCAGCCTTATCATACTATGAATTCCTCCTTCATATACAGCAGCAAGTGAATAAATGAAACACTAGCCTTTGGCTTACTTCTTTAAGGAAAGATTTTGCAGTAAAGAATGATTGTGCTTGTAATATCTTCATTAAATCTGTGGCCTGAGGCAGTTGATGAGAAGTTCTCACTGTGATTTCAACGAACTAAAGCAAATAAAGGACCACATCTGAGAATCAAATGTGCAACTACATAATATTGTACCTTAAAAAAAAATCAAACTGTTGGAACTGGTTGAGCACCTTTAATTTGCTGCAAATCGTGTTTTTACTGTAAGTAGTTGCAGCATGAAGTACATTTACAAAGGCAATACTGAAAAGGTGAAATACATTTTGTAAAATAAAGAGTTCTTTGTTGTTCAAAATGTATATTTCTGTAACTTTTTTTGTTTGTTTTGTTTTTGTTTTTCTTCTTTTTTTTTGTTGCTGCTAGATATAAAACCTCACAATACTGATCATGATTTGCAGGGAAATTCTTTCTAAGTGCATCCAGTGATTACAGACAGAGCATCTCAATGTTCAACTTAATGCTTAAAGTAGCAGTGAAAGAAGTGTTCATTGTGAAATGAACAAATGCTTGTGATGTGTAGAATCCAGTGCTTGGATTGGATTATGGCTAATAGGACTAAAGGTAAGCTTAACCTGGATAAGGTGGCTGAATTTGTTGAAGCTTTTAATAAGTCAGTATTCTAATTTTAAAAACAGTGGGGAAGAGTGGGCCCTACGTGAGACAGATTTTAAAAAGTCATTGGCTGAGTTGGCAACAAAAGTAGACTTAGGTAGATTGTAAGCTTTGCTTTTCTTCAGTAAAAGGAGTAGTTTTAATTTCTATTTATGAATGGCGTGGGAGGGGAAGAGCAAGGAAGATTATCTCAGATGTTGTTTGGTTTATGTTCAGTAGACTTTTGGCTCTTGTTTACTTTAAGTGAATGTTGGGCCCCTCAGATCTGGTGTGTTTCTGAAGCAAGTTTGTTGGCAGCACTTCAGACCAAATGTTGGTCTGCAATGCTGAATATTCTGACATTAAAATTGGAAATTATTTTTCCAAAACCAAAATTATTATATTGAATTTGAAGATTTGTATATGGTTGCAGACATGCCTGAAGTTTTCCAAAATACGGTTTTTTGCTGCAGCTGTGTAATGAGCCCAGATCCAAGGCCAGTGTGCTCCAAACAAAAGCTTTAAATATACTCTGAGATCCTGCCAGAGCTACAGATCGAAACTGACACCGGACTTGAAGTAAAAACTTATATACAAAAAATATCTCAATAATTTTATAGAGGTGTATTAATAATTCTTCTGTTTTCAACATTAAGCTATTGATAGCTACCAATGTAAAATTATTTAAGTTACTGTATTTCAATGCCCATGGAAGTGCTGCATATGGAAAAACCTTGGTTTGCTTTTTGTGGTAAACTTTCAAAACCTACTTTCTGGGGCAGGTAACTTGAAGAGGTAAAACACTTGTGAGTGGTCAAATGTACTGTGCTTTGGATGTTTGGAGATACAGATGTCAGTAGGGTCAACATTTGGGTAAACATTTGCTCCCATTTCAGGCTGTAGGTGCTTGTGATTGTCAGGATTTTCCTCACTTCAGGGGAGAAGTTCCTTGGGAGAGATTGTTCTTGACTACAAGAAGCTAAAGTTCAGAACAATGGCTAAAACAGCATGAAAAGATTATTGTAGAACCAATTTAAGCTTCTCTGTCTGCTGCCTCTGTAGCAAACAGGAATATATTTACTTGAACTGCTTTTCAGAGAATTGCACAGTTTCTAGTCATAGTGAAGAGGTGTCTTTTAAGTTTTGACAGTCTGATTTTTATTTGCTTTCCCCAGGGAGGGGGAAAGGGGTCTCTTCATTTAAATCATAAATGGAACCTCTGCACTTGCATAGGTTCTGCCCCAAACCTTGTGTTTTGGGTATGTTATCACTCAGATGTTGAATTGAAAACCATCCTTGCATCAAACAGCCCACCCAAAGTCTATTTCTTACTGTGACTGTATTTTGCTACTATATCCCTTTTTTAAAGAACCATAGATACTGGAGATGGCCTCGTTGCTTTATGTCCACCAGACCAATGGCTGAAGATGTCAGTCCTTGTGGCAGTTAACAAGTTTGAAGTTGAGTCCCTAAGTTTTACAGAGCAAAACATGGTAAATGAGTCAGATGAACCCTCTGGGAGTTCTCTTCACTTTGGAGGAAATGCTCTATTGAACTTTGTTTATTCCCTTGCAGTGGGGAAGGCCTGCTGGTTCACTGCTACTGCTGTCATGGCAGTTCAGGGAACATGAACACACACACTACCTGTGATTGCTTTTTTACAAATACAGTTGAAAAATGAGGACACTGAAGATGGACTGCTAAAGTAGGCAAGAGTGGTTCTGGTGCTTAGATCTCAGCACCACAACTCCACCACTGTAAATGTGTGGTAAAGGTGTCTCTCTTTGTAGTCAAACACTTTTTTTAAAACTGTTTCTTATTTTGACACATTAGTGTTCAGCCAACTTTGTTACCATTCATTTTACTTTGCTTTCATTATTGTTTTTAAATTAATATATTTGAGTCTAAGTCCAGATAGGCTATGTTGCAATAACTAGAATGATTCAGTTTTATTTAGAATTAATTTCTTAACAATTTAATCAAAGATGCAGAATGGTTTTTAAGTTAAGGGACCATTAAATGTGATTTTAAGGTTCTGTTTACTATTATGGATGTAATCCTTATAGTAAATTTAATTTTGTAAAGTAGTGTATAATATTGTAATATTAAATCTTTGTTCTCTGAACTCAAAGATTTGATCTTCAGTATGAAGTTATAAATCTTCCCCCTTCTGAATTTGAGACAGGATTTACTTGTCCTCCTTTTTACAGTTTGTAATTTTCACTGTTTTATTCCTGTAAAAAGTCATTTATAACACATGCAAATGCTTATTTTATCTGTGCTAATTTATCAGATTTGGCTACTCAATAAAATTAATTGAAAGAACTCATGCCAGTTCATCACTCTTTTCTTATAAATAAAAGTAGAACAATGTATTTAATTGAGATAAATGCCATGTTGGTAACAGGAGGTAGCTGACAGTGATGGTTGGAATTTAGCCTTACCAGCATTCCAAGACGGTGATCAATTTTATTTTAGGTAATCCTGTATCTTCATTTAACATCCCATTATTTCAGCAGCTTTTTTTGTAAAAGCCATTCCATCCTAAATGCTTGCAAATTTTTTTGAGATGTTGTCACTGCTGCCTCTGGCCCATTTTCGATGAGTTAATGCATGAGCTTGGTACTCTGACTTCTGTATTTAACTGGTTTTAAATACAGAATTCTCTCATTCAATATTGTAGAAATATTAATTGGATTTGTCAGTTCCGTTTTCTTTCCCAATGCACCTCACGCTGCCCTGCTGCTGCTGAACTCCCGCACTGCAGCAGTGGCTGGGGGATCAACGGCCACTGGCCTGGCACGGGGCTTTGGCACTGGGGGCTCTCCGGTGAGTCCCGTTCCGGGCAGGGATCGCGGGCTCTCCGGTGCGTCCCGTTCTCGGCAGTGCCCCCGGGCTCTCCGGTGAGTCCCGTTCCGGGCAGGGATCGCGGGCTCTCCGGTGCGTCCCGTTCCGGGCAGTGCCCCGGGCTCTCCGGTGAGTCCCGTTCCCGGCAGTGCCCCCCGGGCTCTCCGGTGAGTCCCGTTCCAGGCAGTGCCCCGGGCTCTCCGGTGCGTCCCGTTCTCGGCAGTGCCCCCCGAGCTCTCCGGTGAGTCCCGTTCCCGGCAGTGCCCCCCGGGCTCTCCGGTGAGTCCCGTTCCGGGCAGTGCCCCGGGCTCTCCGGTGAGTCCCGTTCCCGGCAGTGCCCCCGGGCAGGGACCGCAGCTCTGCGGTGCCCGGGCTGTGCAGGGCACTGGTGCTGATGGGACCATTCTGTGTCCTGGGGCTGGTCAGGTGAGAGAAGAGTAACGTGGCAGTTTCATCACCCGGCACACCAGGAGCGGTGTATCGGACTTTTGGTGCACATAAAGACGAATATTGCACCAACCGGATCTTACTGGAAAGAAGTCAATTCGCTCCCTGTTCGATAATGCCAGTGGCTCTGGCGTCCCGGAGCGGTGTTTGTTGGTGTTTCCTCGGAGTGCCCGTCAGTCCCACAGGGGAGTAGTGCCGGGGGCGGGGGCTGTCCCGAGTGTGCAGGGCCAGCCCCGCCCTGCCTCAGGGTGTCCCCGCCATCCGCGTCCCTGAGCGCCGCCATCGCCCCTGCCCGGCCTCGCGTCGTGACGTCACTTCTGAGGCCGGGGCCGCCATCTTTAGTGCGGGCACCGCGCCGTCAGAGAGGGGTGCGGGGGGCGCTCTGCCAGCGCGCCCCGCCCTTCTCCTGCCCCTACCCAAAATGGCGGCTATCGCTTCAGCGGCTGGAGGGGGCGGTGCCGGCGCCTGCGCGCTGTGCGAGGCGGACCCGTGGTGCCGGGCCTGCGGTGCCGGGGATGGCGGACGGCAGCGCGGGAGGGGAGCCCACACCGCCGGGGCCCCCGGCGGGGCTCTCGGCGTCCCAGCGCCGCGCTGAGCTGCGCCGTAGGAAGCTGCTCATGAACTCGGAGGAGCGCATCAACCGCATCATGGGCTTCCACCGGCCCGCGGCGGGCAAGGGTGAGCCCCGTGGCGGGTGCGGCGGGGCTGTGTGAGGGCTCCGGGGCTGCGGTGACGCGTCGGCCTCTGCCCGCGGTTCCCTGGTGAGCAGGAGCGGCTGGTTGCCCGCAGGGACAGGGTCGCCCGGCTCCCCGGTCCCTCATAGGGATGCCTCAAGCAGCACGACCTGCCCTGCTCCGCCTGAGACCCGCCCATACAATCCCTGTGCCCTCAGAAAGGTCGGCACTCGGGCCCTAAATAGCGAGCATCCAAGCTGTCGTTTCACTGCAAGTAGTTTTTTTTTAGTTGAAGAAACGATGAGCCTCCCCCATGTTTTTAGTTAGTAGCTGCTGGCTTTCATGGCTGGCTTTTTATAGCAAAGTCATTTCACATTTGGATAGTGACATAGATGTTTGTGGTTGTTTTGCAGAATTTTCTCGCAGAACCGTATAATAGGTAGCTCAGTTATATCTCTGTGCATTCTTCAAATGGGCTGTCTTGTCGGGAAGGAGTTCTCAGATTTCGGTTTACAAGGATGCCCATGAGCTGTGAATCAGTCTGACACTGAAAAGTACTCCTCAAGTGTTAGCTCTTGCTCTGTGCTAGGTCCAGACCGTTCTTGATTTGCCTTTTGTTCTCTGCCATCATCTCCGACTCTGTAAGATGGGTCTTCAGGCTTGCTACAGAGCAGGTTAACACTGCCCTGCCTCTGACACTAGACAGGCAGCTAAAGTGCTTAAAGTGCTTCTGTTTGCTTATTTGTCAGGTATTCGTGCTCTTCTGGTTGATTCACTTTCTGCAAATCTTGGTCTTTTTTTTCTAATGTCAGTCCATGTATTTGGATCTTTCTGCTTGTGTGTGCAGTGCTGTTCCTTAAGGAAATTCCGTGTTTGTAATATCTCCATTGCTTCAATTTCTGACCTGCATTGCGCTGCCTTATGTCTTGTGTCTGCTCCATGAAGAATGCCCTCTTTAATCATAAATCTGTCTTTTCTCTTGGGAAGCAGAGACCCAGGATCCTGACCCAGTACAGCTGAAGTGTTGTTCCACGTACACAGCATGCATAACACTGTTTTTATTTTTCTTCCTTAGATGACGAAAGTCACACAGAACTAAAGCTTCAGCACGAGCAAGACAAATCAAACTCCCTTCCCATTCCTTCAGTTTCCAAGCGGGTTGTGCTTGGCGATTCCATGTGCAATGTGACAGGCTCCAGCGACCACGCAGGCGGCATGGCAGAGCTCAGAGGGGACAAGGACCTGTTTGCCAAAGCCCCAGAGCTGGTCCCCGAGGGCACAGGCGAGCTCCGGCAGCGTCACAGGGCAGAGCTGCCCTCAGAGGCCGCGGCACGGCCACCCAGACACGGCTTGGAGCAGTACCTGTCCAGGTTTGATGAGGCTCTGAAGCTGAGGAACCAGCTGATGAGCGAGAAGCCGAGCCAGGAGAACGGCAGCGCGGCGGAGGAGTTTGACTCTTTCCGCATTTTCAGATTGGTGGGGTGCGCTCTGCTCGCCGTCGCGGTCAGGGCCTTTGTGTGCAAGTACCTGGTGAGTTCAGGGACATCCCCAGCAGTCCTGGTGGGGTGTGCTGCTTGCTGCAGATTATTGGGAAATATCTGGGCCTGATTGGTAATGACCAAGGTGGGAATTTCAAGCACTCTTTACATTTCCAAAAATTGTGTAAAACCTAAAAAATCACTGAATTCTACGTGATTAATCTGCTACCAACACAGCCACTGTGTAACCACTGAGAGCAGCACATTTGGTCTGTT